AAAATAAAGGATAAAAAGCTTTCGTCGTGACATATAAACAACGCCATCTACGTGCAAAATCTGAACTACACTGTCACAATAACTGGCAATACACTTGTTGCTAAACCAAGCACAACTATAAAGCTTCCCATATAGTTCGGTATACTGAAACTTGCGATAGGATGCTATTTTCTAGCTTTACTTTTTGTGCTTTTAGCGAAGTCATCAAAGTAGTGCTTTGTGCAGGAAATCATGTTACCCAAAATATGTTTATGGTGTAAAATGGTACCTACATACCTAATATTTTAGTAAAGTTATACCATCTAGCTTTAATCTAAAAATGACCATAAAACGTTTTATTAATTTCATTGATGAAATAAGTTGATATTCTTTAAAAATGTTCTTGTTTCATTATTATATTCAATCAATGGGTTTGGGTTTTGTAGTTTTCTGAATTATATTGACTAAATTAAATATATTCTCAAGTCCACTTAAAGAACATATTAAAAAGTCTATATTAAAAAGTTCACACTTTTTCTCTAGCAAAATGCAATGCAAAATATGCTCAAAACAGTAAAATATGAAATAAATAGCTATGAAATAGCTTTTTATTCAGTCTTTGAAAATAAACCAAAATGTTTTGATAATAATAATTTTATTGTCACACCATTTTTGAACAGTACATTAAATTTTCAAATTAAACATATCACGGGAGTATAACAATTGGTAGTCTTGTCACTGAAAGCGACCTACCTACCAGACAACCTTTGGATGCAGAAGAATGACTAGCAGACTAGATTATGTAAAACGGGAGGTGTAGACTAAGACGCAATTCCAATATAAATAAATAACATTTAATAAATACATAAATATAGATAATATTTACATGAATACAAATAATATACTATACATAAGATATATACATAAGTGAAACGAGGAATTGTTTTAGCAACTCAGAATTACAAAGATTTTTTACCAATTCTCTGAAGATGGTGATTGATTGTGCCTGTCTTATGGAAGACGGAAGAGCACAGCCATCACTGTGCGCATTTGCACAGCCAGTGCCATCATTTAAGGTAGTGGTATGGAGAGGAGTTTCAATTTTCAGGTTTGCCGATGATCTCAAAGAATGTGTAGTAGAACAGTATAAAGGATTCTTTGAAATAGCGCGTATTTAAACAGAATATTATGGAGAACATATAACATATAAACATTCTGGCGTAGACGAAAACGAAACCACTTGAGCTGAGTACGGAATTGAGATACTTGTATGGTCATATTTACGTAATACAAATATAAATCTAATACAGAAGTTTTGAAGTCGCTCAAGTTTATTTAGTTAGTCCTCCGTAAGATCAAGGTAGCAGGTGTCAGTGTAGTCAACAGAGATTGTGCTAGAGTAGTTTTAGTGATTGTCGGCAAAATATTAATTAGAGATGCAGCAGAACAGCTTGCGACTGACAGTTTGCAATTGTGGTGCCCAGCTCAAACTTCGATCTATTATTATACCCAAGTCTTTTACAGTCTCGCTAAAAGGTTGCCAGTCAAATTTAATGATAAGCCTAGCCACTATGATCGTATTAGTCTTTGAAGGATTTACTATAACGCCAAAAGACTAACTGCATTCTACTATACGATCTAAATCAATAATTGCAAAAGAAGTTGACGCGATGCGCTTCCTATTTTACACTGTGATCTTTGGATATACTACAGTCACGAATTTCAGAGCCGAAATGAAACTAGAATAATTGTCCCTAGAACTTATAATTTTAAACAAAGTTATGTAGTTAGGTACATGTTCCTAGGTCTTTGTGTTCATAACAAAGATAAATATAATTCATATATATAAATAAGTTTATAAAATTCTTTATAAAATTATTATTAAAAAGTTAGTTCTTGATTAAAATTGGTAAAAATAGCCAGGTAAACTAAGATCAAGTAAGTATATGCTCTTATAGTGGAAGAACAAGCATCTATAAATGAATGGTGTGCTCATTTGTGTAGACTACACCATTTACTCTTTGACTACACACCCTACACATCTCAGATATGCCTCAAATGAAATATAAATAATAAATACCTGTATGCTACATGCTCCTCACCGATATCTATAGACAACATCACATGACACATGGCAAATAAAATTTGACCACTACACGTCATCAAAAGATATAAATTATGAAACTTCTTTATATATTCAAAAATGTAAGACATTCACAGTGGAGGAATAATCATTTAAATATACCAAAAGAAAAAATGCTACGGAAGTCTAAAAAAATATGTTAGTATTTCGTAATGTTTGGAACAGAATCATACTGGTACAAAATGGTTAGTTCCGGAACGCCGTAATAAAATCAATGAAATTTCGAGCCAAAAATGTGGATAAATGGATGTCTTGCCCAAACGCAGTGATAACATATCCAGGTTTGGCGTACCTATATCCTTTAAACGAATTAATCGTGACGAAGAAACTAGACGCCTTACACGAAATTATAGGCAAAGCCGACGCTTACTATACAATCTACAATAATGAAAATCAAAAAGTTTTTGTAGGCGTTCAAGAGAAAAGTTGCAAGAAATTTATTGTCAAGTTTTACAATAACTACGGTAACGAAGTCATTGAAATTAAAAAACCGTTTGCACTTTTCTCCAAAAGTGTTTTAGTATGGGCACCACCAGGAAACTATGTGGGCTGCGTTGAAAAGAAATATCGCAACTGTAACACATTCTTGGTCAAAAATAAAAATAATTCGTTGATTTTAAACATAAAAGCACAAACATCTTGTAGTAATGTCTACGATGTTATAAGTGGCGATGAATTAATTGGTCATATAAAATGGACAGTTACTAATTACAATTTGGGAATTTCTTTTCCGGATCGATTGGATGTGAGCTATAAGGCAGTGCTACTCGGTGCCTGCGTTTTAATCGGTTATTTAAAATGGTGAAACTAGAAGACTTAGTATTTGATTGAATTAGTTATAATTAATAATATCCTGTGCACACATTCTTTCGACATATAAAACAGCTATCAACAACCATGCTACAATGTAGTTTTATTTAACAATACCAAAGATACATATTATAAAAGGAATCAAACTAGATGTCGCTACGGTACTTTCTTGATTTCTCCATAAAAACCTTTCCAGTTTTCTTTCATGTTTAGAAGAAAAGTAATTTTCAAAACTCAACAAACAACTCATATTCTATTTGTAATTTTTCTTATTTGTATATCTAAGTTACGAATTTTTCAAATTTCAGTGTTTTTAATATGTTAGATAAAAGGAACGGAAATGACTATTTTTGGTCCATTCGTTTCCTGCAAAAAATCAACTTTTGTTAGGGTCGCCATCTAGTAAGGTGCATTTATAGTGCTTCTTTTTTCTTAAAATACTTCGTCATTGTATTTGGCTATTCTATAGATTTTCACATAAACGTCATTAGATGGCGTTTATCGTCACATACCATAAAATAACGTTAATATAGATACAAATGAAATATACCTTACATATAACAGTTTCTTGTGTCTACTATTAAATGAAAGTTTATTGTCTTTTATTTTTGTTTTAAATCGTCAAACAATAAACACCAAGAAGAAATGTTTTAAATAAAATATTAATACAAACACAGCCATTTGTGACAACTTGTAGCTTTACGAAAACTAAATTAAATAACCCTTTATTCCATTATTCCGAGCTTACGATTTTTTCCCTTTGAGGAATTATACTGGTTATAATATATTCTGGATTTTTCACCAACGTAAAATATTCAATGATACATATAACGCCATCTATTGTGGTTTTTTAGGAACAAATATCTTTAACTAAGCGATGAGACTCCGTGACAATATACAATACGTTGCGTTTTCGAAGCCACAGATGGCGTATTCTTGCCTGAACATTGATGAAAATTCGCTCTATAGTAGCGAAAAAGTAACAAATACTTGAACGGAATAGCTTAGTGGTTAGAGCAGTCGCCCGGATTGTGATATGGGTCATGGAGTAGAGTCCCACCTTAGATTGCCAGGGGCAAAGTGGATTTTTAAGCATTTTTCTTTAAGAATAAATTATTTTTTTAAAATTTCCCGAAGAAACGCCACTTCTGTCATTGCGTCGCTATGACGTTTTACGGACCTCTGAAACTTATGTATTTTACGCTAATCGCGTTTGAATTTTCTTAGTTCCGATATGAGTAAGAGGGGTGTGACGTCATGCAGTGTTTACGGTGAAGTGACAACGAAAAAAATAACATGTATTATGTATATTTATTTTCCTTTACTGTCTACACTCTACACCAGAGGTTCCCAAACAATTTTTTCTCGCAGACCATTTTAAAAAAAATACTAGTTTCAGTGGACCCCCTGCTGCTACATTTGTACCATATTCCCAAAATTCGTCCAAAATGTGAAGATCTAACGATGGAAATTGGCGCCCTATTTTTATTTCACGCCAACGTAGACCCCGTTGAATCCCTCGCGGTCCCTGGGGGTCTACCTGCACCACTTAGGGAATCACTGCTCTACACCCACATTGCAACTGTACATTGTTTCATTCGGCCGATGCACAGATTACAATATTATACAGAGGCCGATTCAAGCCGGCAAGCAGGCAACAACACGTCTTCTGCCTTCCTTCCAGCTATCAAATTTTCTGCTTTCTTTCTTTCAAAACTTTTTTTTTACTTTTTCCGTTTCATTATATATTAGTATTTTTTAAATTTATCAAATATAATCAAATTCAGAAACTAAAAAAAAACATGTAAACGAGGTGATTAGTCCCATTAAACGATAGTTATAAAGATTGTAATGAATTTTTGTGCGTTATTTTATGAAAGATAACTTTCTCTATAGTCTGTAAATCTGAATGCTTCATTTTTGTGCGGTCAAGGATAACTTTACAACCATGTTGTAGGTACGATATATTTTAGTACTATATTAGACCTTTTTACTCGAAATGCCTCTCTCTAGTTGACAACGATCGTTTTTAACAATCAAAACCAAAACAATCGATCATAATTGGTAGCTGAAATCTCCACAAATGCATAGGGTAGGCCCCCTCCCAATTGTTAAGTTTGTATTAATAATACAAAATTATAAAAAATTTACAAGCAACCAGATGTGTTATTTTAACAAGGTTTCAACGCATAAGCAATTTACGGAACTTATAGGTTCTAAATTCAACTGAACGTATTTACATTTCACAATATCTGCGTCAGTTGTGGATCTATCCTGAAGATTATTTTGTTTGAGAGCGTATTTTCTAGATGGGACCATGCCTTTATCGCTTTATAAAAAGACTATCAAGTTGGTTGAAAAAATTCAATGAACCAATTTTAACGACCTAAACATTGTTGTTTTGGTCTTTAGGATAGTAGATTAATGAAGAAATAGATACAAAAATACAAAATAAATAGTATTTGTTAGTTTTATTTGTACTTATAAACAAATCAGTCTTAAAAATTGGAAACAATTGAATACTTCAACAAAAAATAATTAAGTGTTAACGTCTTCCGCGTTTCCTTTGAGGAGTTTTAGCTTCTTCTTCGACTACACCATTTTCTATTTCCTCTTGATCTTGCACCTTCCTGCGTACTGGTCCTGTATGTGTGATGGGAATTGCACGTTCGTCTTTCAACTCTGAAGATTTTGGTGCGATAACCGTCAGCACACCATCCGACGATAAACGAGATTCAACAGTCTCTGGATTGCATCCCTCAGGGAGAGCATACCTCCGTTTGAATTGCCTGGAAATGAACCCATGTTCATCCTTTCTCTCTTCATGTTTGCCTTCTACGACGATAAAGCCATCAGACGTCTTGACAGAAATCTCCTCTGGGTCGAAGTGCTGGACATCGATGTTAATTTGAAATTTGTCCTTGTCACTCTTAATGGTGGACCCCACATCTCTTGCCAGAGCCGATAAATTCCTCCAAGGTCGAATGTACCGTCGCAGTTGGATCTTTGGCCGGTCGAAAATGTCGGTTAAAAATCCATCATCATAATCCAGATCCAACAGTGGATCCCGAACACGCCGAGGTCGAAAATCATCCAATAAATACGGTAACAATGCCATCGTTAAAGTTTCAGATCACAAACAATTAATCGAAACTGCAGCAGTACCTAAATATCCGCTATAGCAAATCGCTCACAACACAACGCTCGTATCAGAATGTATCTGAACTACGGAACACAGCGCCAAAGCTTCCGCTTATATTCACTGCGATGTGTCGAATGAAAGCACTCTGGAATGTTGGAGAATGTTCAGGAAACATCTTGAAGTGACATCTATGGTGAAGTAGTCGAATTACGTAGAAACAGGACGGACGAGCGAGTGCCATCGCGTCGATATCGTCATCACCTGCCTTCCCCCGCCCCGTCCCAAAGTAGACATCTTTTAAAAATCTATTCATTTTCGCGAAAACTGCTGTTTTTACATTTGTGATACAAATATATATCACAAATTTTATATATATATTTTATGTAAAGTTCTTTTTATTTTTAATTTAATTCTAAATAAAATACTGTACGTATTGAATCGCCATTCGTCACTAGATGGCGCTATCCGAAACCTAATATTTCATTAACTTTAATTCTTGTTTCATCATTATTAATCATGATTATCTAATATAATTATACTTGATTTCAACTTAATAAAAAGTACGTACCCGATTAATAAAAATAGCGTGGTATGAAGGTTTTTATTTCTTAAAAGATCGTAAGAAGTGTATTTTAGTCTAGAATACCCTTTTGGTAACATTTTTCACTCAGCTAGGTATACTACCTACCTAGTCTTTATTTTAGGATTCATTTATATGTAGGTTTAGGTAAAATATCTACCTATAATAAATATTTAATACCAATAAGCCAACTTTGGTTATGAGTTTTTAGGTTAGTACAAAGAAACAAAGCATGCTTAACTCTTATTATTTCGCGCGTTTCTAGAAACACGTGTTGGAAACGACGTTTAGTCCGCTATATAAGTAGGTATCTATTCTAAATTCCTAAAATTTTAATAGACAGTAAATATACATATTTATACATTATATTATAAATCTTATATTTAACCATGTTAAACTTCAAAATAAGAATGAATAGGTACCTATCTAAGCCTAATCTACTGAGTTGCTGATAGGTATGTACGATAGCAGTAGGTACCACGATCTATAAATGTGAACAAGAAAGATATATTTATGTACTTTATAATATTCAAAATCCAAATTTTGGTGTGAATGAAGATGTTACAGAATAATTTTGAGTGCAAACCTCGCCTACTCGAGTTTTCATAAAATGCCGTACTACTTTGGTATTATTTATTACTTAGGATATTTGTCTATTGAAGTAAAGAATAAAGATACAGTTAGAATATGGTATAGATGTTCCGTCAAAGAGTAAATATTAATTATACTATGTACCTAATTAGCTACATTATTAAAACTATGTCCAATTCAAAAGATTCAATAAAAATTTGGAAAAGTATTGCCATGGCAAAATTTCATAAAAGCTTGCTTTACATAGTTAAGATTACTATTACATGAGAATAGTATATGAGAAGTGAATAAATAAAGACAGACGTGTATGTATTGTGAGAAATAAGCGTCAAAAACGATTTTCAATCAAATTATTTTAATATATCTAGGTAATTTTTAATAGTTCATTTAGCAATTTTTTATCACACACATTAAATTTAATAATAATGATTCGGTTTAGGAATTTGATATTTTTGGGGACAATCTAAATTCGTGATTAAGAAATAACAGGTATAGGTATAGAGTACGCGACAACGCAAGGATAAATATGTATGTATGTTATAAAACTGATTGCATAGTTATATGTATATCTATGATACATACATATAAATAATTTATCATACATACAACCAATTTCCGAACCATAATTTGATTAAATATAAAATAATCAACAAACTTGAATTATTTTGTGAAGCTGGTATCACTTTATAAATCAATGATTTAACAACAAAAAACCGGATACTACTAGCGCTGAGAGCGGCGAGAAGTAGATAAATTTACCGGAACTGGCAAGAACATTCGAGACGATTTCCTAAAAAGTGTAAATTATCTCTATTTTTTAATGAAACTTATTATTATTATATTTTTCAAATATTTGTTTCTGAATAATATGGGTCTATGGTATTTTTTTTATAGCATTTACAATCATAAAACCTATTTTCATGTAGTTTTTCTAGATGGTTCTCGAATGTTCTGGAACATTTTATGGGTACATCTAAGCGCACAATAGTGACCTCTGTGGTTGAGTGGCAAAATAACGTCAAATGTCGGCAGATCTACTAAACCTTTTCATATAACTATATTTTATAAGTGATATGAAAATATTTGTTACAAAGAGATAATAGTTTAATGTATTTTCAGTAAGATTAAATTTCATGTTGCATAATAATTGTCCAGGTTTAATTTAGGATTTCAAATTCCTTTTTTTTTATTTTAATTTAGAAATTCTTAAAAATCTTACCTGAATAAATACTTGACATCAACGGAAGCATGCATAATACTTATGCTTCCGAGGTATAAGCCATCTAATTCTACTTATGGTGAAAAAAAAAACCTTTCACAATAATTCATATAGGTATCAGTAATTGCTATAGAATATTTAGATGAGTTTTACTTACAATTAAACATTTTTTTCTTTATTTATAGTTAAGTTAAACTTTTAGGGACGCTCGCTATGCATATATGTTATCACTGTTATGAACACAACTTTTCTTTAAAATATCCAGAATCGTTCGTGGAACGGTCGTGGAAGTTGTTTTATGTTTTATAATAATTTACTTAATTTAATATTATTTTAACGTTGATTTACTTCGCAAGGGGTACGACGGGCGTGAAAATATAGATAGATAGTTTTGCTAATATACTTATACATTAAGTTAAACTATCTAGATACCTATATCTTTATACAATTACTCTTGCAGTATAAACTAACTATCAATTATCAAAATGGCCTTAGTAATATCATAATATTTGTTCTACTAACATGCCAAAAAGACGTGTTATTTTTCGTTTTAAAATTGAACCCTAGTTTTATAACAACTGGCATAAAGCGCGTCAACTCTGGAAATTTCTACTCGTTCACAGATGTCGCCCTCTACAAAGAGTATATAAATGAACTGACGTCTGGCGGTGCGATTATTTGAGAAATTGCAGACAAGACAAGCTAAGCTACTATTACTGCGACGTTTTTACACGTGCATAACGAACAAACCACGCCATTTTCTAAGTGAAGTTTAATAAAAAGTGTTAATTTAATCAAAATGCCGGAAGAGATGCAGACTCAATCCGGCGAGGTGGAAACCTTCGCCTTCCAGGCTGAAATCGCTCAGCTAATGTCATTGATCATCAACACATTCTACTCCAACAAAGAGATCTTTCTTCGTGAGGTAATTTCAAACTCTTCAGACGCATTGGATAAGATTCGCTATGAATCGCTCACTGATCCGTCGAAGCTGGACAGCGGTAAGGAGTTGTACATCAAGATTGTGCCCAACAAGAGCGAGGGCACGTTGACCATCATCGACACCGGTATCGGCATGACAAAGGCTGATCTCGTGAACAACTTGGGTACCATTGCGAAATCTGGCACGAAGGCGTTTATGGAAGCGTTGCAAGCCGGCGCGGACATCAGCATGATAGGCCAGTTTGGTGTAGGTTTCTATTCGTGTTACCTGGTCGCCGACCGCGTGACTGTCCACTCTAAACACAATGATGACGAGCAGTACATGTGGGAATCTGCTGCGGGCGGATCCTTCACTATCAGACCCGACCACGGTGAGCCCTTGGGTCGCGGTACTAAGATCGTTCTTCACATCAAAGAGGACTTGTCAGAATATTTGGAAGAGCACAAAATCAAGGAAATCGTGAAGAAGCACTCTCAATTCATTGGTTATCCGATTAAATTAGTGGTAGAGAAAGAACGCGAAAAGGAATTGTCCGATGACGAAGCAGAGGAGGAGAAAAAGGAAGAAGAGAAGGAAGACGAAAAGCCCAAGATCGAGGATGTAGGTGAAGATGACGAGGAAGACAAGAAAGACAAAAAGAAGAAGAAAACTATCAAGGAGAAATACACGGAGGATGAGGAACTGAACAAAACTAAGCCCATCTGGACTCGCAACGCTGACGACATCACACAGGAGGAATATGGTGACTTCTATAAATCGCTCACAAATGACTGGGAAGATCATCTTGCAGTGAAACATTTCTCTGTAGAGGGCCAGCTCGAGTTCAGAGCTCTGTTGTTCGTTCCACGCAGAGCACCCTTTGATCTCTTTGAAAATAAGAAACGCAAGAACAATATCAAACTGTATGTACGCCGAGTATTCATCATGGACAACTGTGAAGACCTCATCCCCGAGTACCTAAACTTCATTAAGGGCGTAGTCGACAGTGAAGATTTGCCATTGAACATTTCACGTGAAATGCTCCAACAAAACAAAATCCTCAAAGTAATCAGAAAGAATTTGGTTAAGAAATGCTTGGAGCTCTTCGAAGAATTAGCAGAAGATAAAGAAAATTACAAGAAATTCTATGAACAATTTAGCAAGAATTTGAAACTAGGTATCCACGAAGACTCACAGAACCGATCAAAGTTGGCTGACTTGCTTCGCTACCACACATCGGCATCTGGTGATGAGGCATGCTCACTGAAGGAGTATGTTTCACGTATGAAGGAAAATCAGAAACACATCTACTACATTACTGGTGAGAACCGTGACCAAGTAGCAAACTCATCGTTTGTGGAGAGAGTCAAGAAACGTGGCTATGAAGTTGTATACATGACCGAACCCATTGATGAGTATGTAGTACAACAAATGAGAGAGTATGATGGTAAAACTCTAGTCTCTGTCACAAAGGAGGGTCTAGAACTCCCTGAAGATGAAGAGGAAAAGAAGAAGCGTGAAGAAGATAAAGTCAAATTTGAAAATCTTTGCAAAGTCATGAAGAACATCTTGGACAATAAAGTTGAAAAAGTAGTAGTATCAAATCGGTTGGTTGAGTCTCCTTGCTGCATTGTTACTGCTCAGTATGGATGGTCTGCAAACATGGAGCGTATTATGAAGGCCCAGGCTCTCAGAGATACATCCACCATGGGTTACATGGCTGCAAAGAAACATTTAGAGATTAACCCTGATCATTCGATTGTTGAAACGTTGAGGCAGAAGGCAGAGGCTGATAAAAATGACAAAGCTGTAAAGGATCTTGTCATCTTGCTGTATGAGACTGCTCTGTTGTCATCTGGATTCACTCTTGATGAGCCACAGGTCCACGCTTCTCGTATCTACCGTATGATTAAGCTTGGTCTTGGCATTGATGAGGATGAACCTATCCAAGTTGAAGAGACCAGTGCTGGAGATGTGCCACCACTAGAAGGTGATGCTGATGATGCATCACGCATGGAGGAAGTTGATTAAATCTCTATACCACCTATAAATAGCTTATTCCAATCAACTTATGGTGTTAAGTTTTAAGATTGTTTTGTGCACTGGTGTACAGCCAAAGACTGATTTAGTTCAAAAAATCCATTATTTAAAATAAAATGGTAAACAATTATTTCTGTTTTTATTTACCTTTTGAATGCATGTGTATTAAACTATTATTTTACAAATATTAATTTTTTTTCATTGCACATTATAGGCTATCAATGTGCTTTTGGACTGAGTGATCCTTTAGTTTTCAACAAAACTAAAGCGTCGTACAGTTTAGTCAAAATTTGTTTGTCTTGCCCAATCAAAGCTTTTTGTATGGCGAAATTGGTCCCCACAATGCTGCTAATAATTATCAAGATAACAAAACTGATGATGTGCAAAAACAAAACGCGAAAATCTTAAACGTTCTGATATACGCAGAAGTACTATAATAATAATACTAAAGAACAATGGCGAACTCCCATATAGCTTTGGACCTGAATTTTTAAAGTCCCGTTCATGAATGAAATAAACGTGTACTTGAAGGTATAAGCTAAACTAACAAAATCCTAATTGTCTTTTTACTTTAAAAGTTGGGATTAAAAAGATATGGCATAAAATACTTTGTGGGGTTCTATATTGCATCTTTGCTTTTTCGTTGAATGGACGTTAAAATAAATAAAAATGGTGATCAGGTTACTCCGTTTAATAAACTAGATTAAAATAATTACATATCTAACAAGATCCAGACACTTATAATAGAAGAAATATTTATAACACATGACTAAACTGTGTGGAGTAGATCCCTTTGCCTTTAATTAAATCATTATAACTGAAAGTGATAAATAAGGGCAATGTACACATTGAACTGTCATTTTTATAACCGAATCGATTGCCATTCGGAATCCAAAAGTAATGCGAATATCAACGTTACTTGAAGAAACATGTTTAATTGTCAAGTTGAATATTGACATAAATATCAAACTCAATAATACATCAAATCATCCGCTGTCATTCCACCTACATTAATAGATGAAAACAAGCATGTCAAAATAAAATCCACCAATCGATTAATTAGAACAAAATAATCGATACGTTAAACTATCATCGGATCAACTGCAGAACTGGCAATAATCTTCTTAAATCGTTTGTGGTATCTTAGCTTTTAATATTTTATTTCTTAAGTATTAAATACGTAATTTGAACGAATAAAATAAATATTTATGAAAGTATTCAAAGACCGTATTTCATATAATATATTATATTGAATATATATATGACGTTCATTCGCTCAGTCGGTACACGTTATTACATCACAGTAGTAGTATTATAATTCGTCCATGGGACAGACGAAGGAACTAAGCCATACACATTACATCACATATCTCACTTATTATTAGCAGTAAATGGCGACAGATAATATTCTATAGAACATGTTTGAAAAACTTGCTATTAATTGAGAATCGTTTCTGACATCGTTGATGTATGTGATCGATTTTTCAAAAACCATCCAAACTACAACCCTTTGATATATTGTGTCGTTTTCAATTAAAGAGAACGGAATCTGTTCTATACAATCTTATTTTGAATTTATATACGATTATTAAGCCTATTAATGGTACTTTAAAGGCAATAGAATTAATTGCAATGTACAGGAAACGATAATATCCATTAAAATAGACGATCCTTTTATTGCCCTGCGCAAAATTCATGAAACACTTCCAAGATATAGTTTTATTATTAAAGTACTTCTGCGTAGACCAGAACGTTTCTTAACAAGATTTTCGCGTTTTGTTTTTGCACTATCATCAGACGTTTTGTTATCTTGATAATTATTAACAGCATTTAATATTTTAGTTTGGTTCCCCGACTTTAAAATTCACCATTTTGTAGAAATAAAATCTATTAATCAAATTTTATTTATTTGTCATATTGCCATCCATGTACGGTTTTGAAAATTATGGGGTCTGATTTCGCCATTCTTCTTTGAAAGTGTTTCATGAATTTTGCACAGTGGCGTTGCCTATCAAGTACCATTAATACGCATAATAGTAGAATACAAGTTCAAAATAAGACTATAGAATAGATTCCCTTGCTTTTGATTGAAAGCCACACAATATGTCACGTTTTTGAAAAATCGATCACATAGATCAAAAATGTTAAAAGCGATTCTCAATAGGGTATTTGACACTATCGAAAATAAGTTGCATTTTGTGGTCATCCTGATAGATAATAATCTAATAAAGCTTATTTCTTAACATCTGCAGAAAAAACATGTTTAGATTTAGTAAAATAACGTAAACAAAATGCAATATTTCTAGGAATTATTTCAACGACGAAAACGTCGTATGATTGGTCGTCGTCACAACCAATCACGATTCTGTTTACTGGCCTGTGACGTCATCAGCTGTCATATCATGTAGTGTTAGAAAGATGCATAAAATATCGATGCCTGTAGGTATCGAGTACTTTATAGTAATTTACTGATAACAGAATACTTTGCTGCTTCTACTGATAAGAACTGCCAAAAAGAAATAGAGAAAAAAAGAATCATTTACTAAGCTTTTTAAAAAATCCAACTTACATGTTTTTCTCATTTCTTGAACTTTGCTATAATAATTCAAAATTACAAAGTCGATTTTGATGATATATACTGTTCTCCAAGTTAAAAACTAATTTAAAAAAATCATCGGTATCTGATATCTAATTATCAAATGCCATGCATTTAGTGGACAGACATACTACATGCATGTATAAATAAAATAGAATATTCTTTTTCGTACTAATGTCTCATCCATTTGTTGGTCGACAGGCTGTAAAGTGAGAGCTGTCAATAAATATAAATGAGTCGTAAAATGTTAATGACAAAGAAAAAAAAACAAAAAGAAAACCTTCAAATGTATCGATATGAAATAAAATAGTTTCAATACTTTTAGCGAATCCTTACCTAATTTTGTCACCCATCTCTACTCTATATAGCTACTATACTATTGGATTGTGAATCTATTTTCTTCTAGACTCGATGTTTGTTTGTTATTTATAGAAGTATTAGTACATTGTGGCACAACGCACCACTTGTAGCTCACTTTTAAAAAAAAATCAGAGCAGAGGAAAATAAAAAACGTAAAAAATACGTTCTACGACTTCAATTTCTCTTTTATTATTTCAATTTACTCTAGGGATAATCGATATTCATTGATGTTGAATAAACATTTTTTCGTGCCAAACATCGATGTTTATGAATAAAATGTCAAGATACCCTTTGGGCCATCTTACCTGCTCCAGATGTATTAGCTAGATGATCTCGTATATCAAGTTCAACTATTTTATATTAGATGTCACCGGTTGCACTCGTAACTGGAGTACGCAAACAAATAGTTTTTTCTTTGCTTGTATTTTCCTAGAAAATTAGAAATAAATCTGTCAACTTCAGCGCTCGTTGGTATCTTATAAGTTACTTTATTCATTGGTCTTAGTTTTAAAGATCCGTACATTAGATAGTTCCACGTGCGAGTGCGGAATCGAAAAAGTACCACTGATCCCATCCTCTTCAACTGTCTGAAACAACCTACTTCATATGAGCAACTTCCATCTAAAACCCCCCGTCCCATTAACCTTAATACTATCTTGTCTATTTCTAACATACCTATATTTTTGCGTCTTGTAAGCATATTAAAAAATATAACAATACACTATAATGTACATGGCACTATCATATATTTATTGTGAAAGAACAATGGCGAACTCCCATATAGCTTTGGACCTGAATTTTTATAGTCGCGTTCATCAATGAAATAAACATGTACTTGAAGGTATAAGCTAAACTCACAAAATCCTAATCGGCTTTTTCCTTTAAAAGTTGGGATTAAAGAGATATGGCATAAAATACTCTGTGAGGTTATATATTGCATCTTTGCTTTTTCGTTGAATGGACGTTAAAATGAATAAAAATGGTAACCAGGTAACTCCGTTTAATAAACTAGATTAAAATAATTACATATCTAACAATATCCAGACACTTATAATAGAAGAAACGTTTATAACATATGACTAAACTGTGTGGATTAGATCCCTTTGCCTTTAATTAAATCATTACAACTGAAAGTGACAAACCAGGGCAATGTACACATTGAACTGTCATTGTTATAACCGAATCAATTGCCATTCGGAATCCAAAAGTAATGCAAATATCAACGTTAGTCGAAGAAACATGCTTAATTGTCAAGTTGAATATTAACATAAATATCAAACTCCACGAACGAACACACAAAAAACAAACCAAACCAATCATCCGCTATCATTCCACCATCATCATCTTAGAACATTCATAGATGAAAACAAACATGTCAAAATAAAATCAACCAATCGATTATTTAGAACAAAATAATCGATACGTTAACCTTTCATCGGTTCAACTACAGAACTGGCAATAATCTTCTTAAATCGGTTGTGGTATCTTAGCTTTCAATTTTTTTATGTTATTCGTTCAAATTCAATACGTAATTTGAACGAATAAAATAAATATTTATGAAAGTATTCAAAGACCGTATTTCATATAATATATTATATATAGATTTTATATTGAATATATATTTGACGTTCATACGCTCAGTCGGTACACGTCATTACATCACATATCTCACTTATTATTAGCAGTAAATGGCGACAGATAATATTCTATAGAACATGTTTGAAAAACTCGCGATTAGTTGAGAATTGCTTCTGACATCGTTGATGTATATGATCGATTTTTCAAAACCCATCCAAAGTACAACCCTTTGATATATTGTGTGGTTTTCAATTAAAGAGAACGGAATCAATTCTATACAATCTTATTTTGACTTTATATTCGATTATTAAGCGTATTGATGGTACTTTAAAGGTAATAGAATTAATTGCAATGTACAGCAAACGATAATATCCATTAAAATAGATGACCCTTTTCAAGGGCAAAAGTCATGAAACACTTCCAAGATATAGTTTTATTATTAAAGTACTTCTGCGTAGACCAGAACGTTTCTTAAAAAGATTTTCGCGTTTTGTTTTTGCACTATCATCAGACGTTTTGTTATCTTGATAATTATTAGCAGCATTTAACATTTTAGTTTGGTTCCCCGACATTAAAATTCACCATTTTGTAGAAATAAAATCTATTA